CCTCATCTTTCATTTGTGTTTGTATCCATGAGAAGTTCAATTTTTTCAATCTCTCCAAAGGCTCCAAAATATTCTTAAATTTGTTCTTCAAAAGTATTTGGGCCCTAACCAGTTTGGCTCGGTGGATAGAGCGTCGGCCTGCAGACTGAAAGGTCCCAGGTTCGATTCCAGTCAAGGGCATGTACCTTGGTTGCGGGCACATCCCCAGGAGGGGGTGTGAAGGAGGCAGCTGATCGATGTTTCTAACTCTCTATCCCTCTCCCTTCCTCTCTGTAAAAAATCAATAAAATATATTTTTAAAAAAGTATTTGGGCTCTACCTTCCCCCCAAACCATTTTATGGGGGGTTTCTTCCCTTTTTTAAAACTTTGGTCCTTTGGCAGGGGGGTCTATCAGTTGCCATCTAGTTTGTGTTCTTTCAGTTCCAAAACTTTATCAACATGAGCAGCATCTTTGAAAAGCACAAATCCAAATACTCTTGGTCTTCCAGTAACTAGATGTTTCCACTGTGCAGTCTCAAACTTACCCCAAATTGAGACAGTCAGATCTTTCTAGCTTGTACCCCAGCTCAAACCTCTGATAAACATTTTATTGTCCTGATTTTTGCTGGCCTTGATCTTGAATCCCTCAGCGAACTCATCTGTGTTGCTGTACAGTTCATGTCCCCCATGGTGGGAGAATTATTGGCAGAAGGGTCCTGGCAGCAAATGCTGCAAGGAGTTGTATGGCACTGAATATTTTGAAATTTTTTAAAAATTGATTTTTATAGAGAGCAGAAGGTAGAGGGAGAGAGAAAAACATTGATGTGAGAATGAAACCAGGGGGTTACCTCCTGCACGTGCCCTACAGGGGATTGAGCCCAAAACCCCAGCATGTTCCCTGACCCAGAATGGAACTGGCAACCTTTCTGGTTCACAGAACAATGCCCAACCAACTGAGCCAGAGCATGTAGTGCTGGATTTAAAATAGCAGCAGAGCCCTGGCTGGTTGTTCAGTGGTTAGAGCACCTGTCCACAAACCAAAGGCCTGTGAATTCAATTCCCGGTTAAGGACACATACCTCAGTTGCAGGCTCCATCACCAGTTCAGTGGGGCTTCTGTGCAGGCGGCAACCAATCAGATCCCAATGTTTCTCTCTCTCTCTCTCTCTCTCTCTCCGCGCCCCACCCCCCCCGCCCTCCACTCTCTCCAAAAATATCAATGGAAAAAATATCCTCGGTGAAGATTTAAATAATAATTAAATAGTGGTGGGGGTACCTGCTATATGTTCTCTAGGCCTTTTAGAAAACATGGAGCCCAGCTGGCATGGCTCAGTGGTTGAACGCCAACCTATGAACCAGGAGGTCACGGTTCAATTCCCAGTCAGGGCACGTGCCTTGGTTGCAGGCTCGATCCCCAGTAGGGGATGTACAGGAAGCAGCTGATCAATGATTCTCTCATCACTGATGTTTCTCTCTCCCTCTCTGAAATCAATACAAATATATTAAAAAAGAAAGAAAACATGGAGCCTTGGACAGGTGGCTCAGTTAGTCAGCGTTGACCCAATACACAAAGGTTGCAGGTATGATCCCCAGTGAGGGTACATACAGGGGTCAACCAATGAATGCAGAAATAAGTGGAACAACAAATCAATGTTTCTCTCTCCCTGCTGCTCTAAAAGCAATAAATTTTTAAAAATACAGTTAATAAGTGGTAGAACCTGGATTCAAAATCAGATCTAATTCTAAAACTTTTGCTATTACTTTCCATACTTCAGTAGCTAAAGACAAGCCCCGTCTCTTTATTTATGGATTGGTTTTAGGGAGGCAGAGGGAGAGAAACATTCATTGGTTGATTCTTGTGTGTGCCCTGACCAGGTATTGAACCTGCAACCTTGGCATAGCTGGATGGTGCTCTAACCAGCTGAGCTACCTGACCAGGGCTAAGCCCTGTCTCTTATGTCTCCTGAACTTGGGGGGGTGGAGATAGAAAAATATAAGATTAAGATGAATCTGGGGGAACAGCCAATTTAGATCGCTGATATCGTGTTCCATGATCCTCACCTATTTCCAGGTATTCTATAGAAAGCCTTCTAGCCAGCAAAGTTTTTCAAGTAAATCCTCATTAACCAAGGTCAATTCTGATGTCCTACAAAAGCTAAGAAGCAGAAAAGATGCTACATAAATTTATTAGCAACTACTGGTGAAAGATTAGCATATATTGCCATCTTGAGGTAAACTGATTTTTGATAAGTGTATTCAGACCCTTGAAATGTAATTTTACTTCAACTTTTAGAAATAGCTTTCACTTTTTCTAGGCTTCCACATCAAGAAAATTAAGTGGTTCAAGGTCTCAAATAAGTTTTTTCCAAAATGGCGGTGATTAAGTGGAAGCTACACTGACACTCTCCCTCCCAGGACCAAACTGGAATTATAACTATATAGAAAAACCATCCTGAATAATCACCTGAAGACTAGCTGGAGAGAACCCTTATAACCAAGGATGGAAAGAGGAGACTGCATAGAGACTTGTAGGAAGTGCAGAAGCACGAGAGGGCTGGCTGGGCTCTCACAGGCAGTAGCTGAAGTTCCAGAAGATATCTCAGCTGTGGGGGGTTAAGATTTGAGAGGATAACAGGGGTCTGGCAGTCCTATTTCAGAGGAAGTAGTAAAATACGAAAAGTGTTAGAAAGACCAGGTAGCAGCACAATTTCTCCAGAATAGTCCTCACAAAGTGGCATCATTATTATGCTGAAAGTGAATTCACAAGTTTCACACACTTCCCGGTGTAAGTAGAAAGACAGTCCAGAGCTACATTTTTAGTATCCACAGGTCTAAAAGCTGAATTAAAACAAACAAACAAAAAATGATTAGCATTTATTGATGACAACACAGTACTAAATTAGCTTTTCTCTTTTAAGTAGACCTCAGGCTCAACTTACCTCAAGCTTTTGTGAGTCAGACAGCCAGTATGCTTATACTTTTATTGTGTAAGTTAGAGAATCTTTCCTTCCTATCACATAGAATTCAGGTAAGGGCCACACAATTTTAGTTAGAAATTAGCTTTATTTTATATTTTGCAAAAGACATGACATATATATCACCTTTATTATAAATGATATAGTTTATGTACAGGGTGGGGCAAAATAGGTTTACAATTGGGAGTATGCAAAAGTTTATTTTATTTTTATAAAAAGCAGACCTGAACAGATTTCTGATGAAATACAACTGAAAGTTTTACTTACGTGCTAGGCGATGTTATGACCTGTTTTATATGCCATTTGTAAAAGTCAGAAAAGTAGGCTTCAAAAGATCACTGGTTGTTTCAGTAGGGTATATTTTGGCAATGATCCTGTTTCCTTATGAACCACTACTTTATTCATCCACTGTGAAGAGTGTGATGAATATAAGGATCGGTCAACCCCCGTGATACAGAGAATGTAACAGTATAAAAATAACGACCCAGTGTGAGTAGATGAGGAATCAACTCCAACTTTTTGGTGCATGGGATGATGCCCAACCCACTGTACCACACCAGCCAAGGATGATGCACACATTTTTAAAGCAAAAGAGAACCCCACATCTAAAAATAAGCCAGGAATAGTTATAGTACTGACACAAATGAGTACATCCTGAGGCTTACTTAGTATTAGTAAATCTTAGTATACCACTTCCTTTTATATGCATAATAATCTCAGATAGGTAAAATATCTGAGTACCTCATAATGTAAACCTCTAAAAGATCTGCCATAATGTGCCTTTCTCTTTGACTCTTTCTAAGGCTGCCAGTGAACACCCTCAAGAATTGCTCAATATGTCAGCGTCACTACCCAGGTTTGATGACATGCTTGGAGGATTCACAGGACTCAGCATATCACTGTTTTCATGGCTATGATTTATTACAGTAAAAACATAAAATCAAAAGAGCAAAGGGAAAAGGTATACGGGACAAAGCCTGGGGTAAACCAGGCACAGATAGCTTCCAGAGTCCTCTGCCAGTAGAAGTTACGCCGGATGTGCTTAATTCCCTCAGCACCTGAGTTGTGACGTTGTGCAATGGCTACTATGAAAGAGATGCCAGGCTCAGACTTATTTCTGCAGGCTAGTCACACAGGTACCTTCTGCCTAGCATGTACCAAAATTTTGGACTTCCAGAAAGAAAGCAGGTGTTCAGCACAAACCACACTGTACAAACAGCTTCATCACAGAGGACAACTCTTATTATTGAGAGTGGAGGGAAACCTCTTGAAATTTAAGTTCCCAGACACCAGCAAAGGACCCACCTTGCAAGCAAGCCTTACAAAAGATAGTATGTTACTATTTTTTGCACATTTAGTGACAATCTCATAGGAATAATCAACATATATTCAGATTCAAGACTCTTCTAATTCAGAAACAAGCATTAAAAAAAAAGACATATAGAGTCTGCTGCCTGAGATCTAGATAATATGTTAATAAACTGCCACAGTTATACTTGATCTTCATAAATTTTATTCAAAAGTGGAATGAAAATATATGAAAAAGAGCCTTAGCCAGTTTGGCACAGTGGATAGAGCATTGGCCATTGGCCCGCAGACTAAAGGATCCCAGGTTCAATTCTGGTCAAGGGCACATACCTCAGTTGCGGGCTTGATCCCCGGCCCTGGTCAAGGCATGTACAGGAGGCAATCAATCGCTGTGTTTCTCTAACATCCATGTTTCTCTCTGTCTCTCCCCCTCCCTTCTACTCTCACTAAAAAATCAATGGAAAAATATTCTCAGGTGAGGATTAACCAAAAAAAAAAAAAAATGTGTGTGTGTGCATGTGCACACACACACATATGAAAAACGAAGGAAAATTTAATTTGCTCTTAATGAACTTAGAATTTAGTACTCTACCATAGAGAGGGCTCTTTCAGTATTGCTAGCAGCAAAGCCTATAAATAACCATGTTATCATTGACTAGAAATGCACTTCACACGACTACATACAATTAAGCAAAAAGAAATCATTTTTGCTTAATTGAACCAGTTGTATCATTTGGCATTAATAGTTTGGACATAAACTTTAGAAGTAAAGATAAAGAAGATGTTATGGTGTTACAATACATTTGTGAAGATAATTTTCTTCAGCTAATATTTTGGGGATACAAGAGGAAATTTCCTTTTGTTGTTCTCGCCACTTGAGTATATTCTCTGCCAGTTCTTCTGTCTCAGTCACCAAAATATCCATCTTGGCTAAAGCCTTGCTCTGTAACATTTGAAAGAAGGGGAAAATAGGAGAGTAATTATGCCTGTCATTAGTATGTCATTACTATATCACAAATGGTTATGATTCCAGCCCCTGAATACAAAGGTGCCTTAAATTTGTGCTCTCCCACTTCTTATAGACACGCTTTTTCTTCAAGTCACCTCTCCTGTCTTCAATTATCACCTCGATGCAGATGACCTTCAATCTATATTGTCAAACCTAATCTCCTTCCTAAAATTCAGTCCCACGTTTCAATCTGTTGGAAAACTCCATCTGGATATACATTCAATCTCAATTTAACTACAATTCAATAAGGGTTGAACGTTTACTATCTATGCAAGACATAACAAAAAATAAACTCATTAACGTCTTTAATTTTTTGCTCCTACTCACCCTCAAGTCAGCAAGAATAGAAATTTCATTTCTTTGGATGTGTTCCAAAAAGTAGCCATATTCTAGAAATTAGACCTTCAAAATATAAAAATCTACACAATCCTTTGTATTCCTCAGCTTTAAATCTTTTATCTGGCCTTAACCGGTTTGGCTCAGTGGATAGAGCGTCGGCCTGAGGACTGAAGGGTCCCGGGTTCGATTCCAGTCAAGGGCATGTACCTTGGTTGCGGGCACATTCTCAGTGGGAGGTGTGCAGGGGGCAACTGATTGATGTTTCTAACTCTCTGTCCCTCTCCCTTCCTCTCTGTAAAAAAATCAATAAAATATATTAAAAAAAATATTTTATCTGAATAACTTATTTATTCTCCAAGTTTCTTTGCCTAGTCCTGTGGTCAGCAAACCATGGCTCACGAGCCACATGTGGCTCTTTGGCCCCTTGAGTGTGGCTCTTCCACAAAATACCACATGCGGGCATGCGCATACAGTGTGATTGAAACTTCGTGGCCCATGTGCAGAAGTCAGTATTTTGTGGAAGAGCCACACTCAAGGGGCCAAAGAGCCACATGTGGCTCGCGAGCCACGGTTTGCGGAGCCGCAGTTTGCTGACCGCTGGCCTAGTCCTCTAACACAGTTTATCAAACTTTAATGTGCATAGGAATCACCTGAGGAATTTATTAAATAAACTGTAGATTCAGATCGTGAAGGTATAAGGTGAATGAAATCTACAATTCTGCATTTCTAACAGGCTTCCAGGTGATGCTTACGCTGATGTTTTCTGCCCACACTGAGTGGCAAGCTCAGTCCACTCTATTTAATATTTGCTCCATTATTAAAGTACAGTTCTGATCAAGTTACTCCTCTGTGCCTTTTTTTAAATATATTTTATTGATTTTTTTCAGAGAGGAAGGGAGAAGGAGAGAGATAGAGAGTTAGAAACACCGATGAGAGAGAAACATCGATTCAGCTGCCTCCTGCACAATCCCTATTGAGGATGTGCCCGCAACCAAGGTACATGCCTTTGACCAGAATCAAACCTGGGACCCTTCAGTCAGCAAGCCGACACTCTATCCACTGAGCCAAACCAGTCAGGGCTCCTCTGTGCCTTTCTCTAAAAATCAAAAATTCAATAGTTCCCCAGTACTCAGCCAGTCAAGTCTAAACTTCTCAGTCTCAAGGCATTCCACAACTAACCCTGAGTTAACGTCCCTCTCAATGCCCTTAAGTGTCATCCAAAGGGGAGTACCATTTTTCCCTCAAGCTACTGTGCTCTTCTAATTTTCTTTCTTTTTTAAATTTTTATTTACTGATTTTTAGAGAAGAAGGGAGACAGCGAGGGAGGAAGAGAGAGAGAGGAATATTGATTTGTTGTTCCACTTATGTATTCATCGACTGACTTTCTTGTATGTACCTAACCGGGGATTGAGCCACTCAGCCAGAAGCCGGGATCACGGCTGGTGAGTGCAGTGGTGGCGGCAGAAGCCTTTCCCGCCTCCACGACAGGCGGACATCCCTCGAGGGGTCCCAGACTGCAAGAGGGCGCAGGCTGGGCTGAGGGGATTCCCCCCACCACCACCCCCGCCCAGTGCACAAATGTCATGCACCGGGCCTCTAGTAATGGAATAAGAGAATGTAAAATGACTTTTAAATAAAAATAATATAAAAAAAGAAACAGCATTTTGATTTTATAAAATAAATCACTCATATTAACCATCAACAAAATTAAACAAGTAGGTCAGACATTTGAGATTCTAGTATAAAACAGAACTAAAGAAAGCTAAAAGTGCCCTAGCCAGTGTGGCTCAGTGGATAGAGCATCAGCCTGTGGACTGAAGGGTCCCAGGTTCGATTCTGATCAGGGCACATGCCCGGGGTTGGGGGTTCGATCCCCAGTAGGGGGTGTGCAGGAGGCAGATCAGTGATTCTTTCTCATTGATGTTTCTAGCTCTCTCTCCCTCTCCCTTCCTCTCTGAAATCAATTTAAAAAAATAGCTAAAAGTAATGTGAAAGGAGTTGATGCGGTACTTAAATGCTATTGTTAATACTCACCATTCTCTTTAGATTTGCATCTAAATGAGGAATATTTCTAATTGTTTCAAGGTGGGTTTCTAATCTCTCAATAAAAGTCACTGCCAACTCCAGCAAATGTACCATGTATCTGAAAGAGGGAGGGGAAAAAGTCAATTATTACTTTGTTTTAGTGTAGTTATTTTGTATTCTCCTTTTCCCCTTTTAATTAGGACTTTCAATATGATATAAAATAATTACAATCAACCCAATGAGCCAATTATAACCTTTCTGCATTCATGGAACTATCAGTGATAAAGCCATTTCAAAATACTAATTCTCAATCATGAGCGAAGACAATAAGGACAAATGTGTTTCACTGAAATGGCCTACAAATAAAACTACTTTGAATCTGTGCATTTGCAAAATGCTTTAAAATAATTATTCAGTTCTTCTAATATATATAATGTACAATATGTACATTAATGGTATTTTACTGTACTGAATAGATACTGAATAAATCCACAAGAATGGGATTTGTATATCTATTATATTACCGTAAGATAAAAAAAATCTGATACTCAAGAGAAGAGACTGATTTGTTCAGGGTCAGTTAGTGAGCACTGGTGGAGAAAGCTAGCAATCAGATTTCTGCTTCTTTACTTTATTATTAATAATAACTTACACCTTCAATTTGGTACTTGCAATACTCCCATGAGGAAGTAAGGAACAGAAAGCATCTATGGATTGGGAAACTGATGCAAAAAATTTAAATCATTTGTCCAAGTCTTTGAGGCATATAAACAACAGAGATGAGACCAGAACTCAGTTTTTTCCCCCCCTCCTTTAGTTGACATTGTTTTCATCTGTCCCTGCTTAAACTCTCCCAACAGAATTTGTATAGATAGTGTGGGGCAAAAGTAGGTTTACAGTTGTTCGTATGGAAAATAATACAACCTATATATATAAAACCATAATATGCAAATAGACCAAACGGCAGAACAACCAAACAGCCAGTCGCTAAGAGGTGTGCTGACCACCAGGAGGTGCGCACAGAACATGGCGAGCATCGGCCGCGGCAGGATGGCGGAGGTAAGCGGGGGCACCAAACCAAGGCGGGGCACTGGTCGCTGTCATCGGAGTGAGCCTCTGGTGGTTACTGAAAATTCTTTGCTCCTGTGCCACAGCCCCACCTGGTGCTCTTACCTACTGCTGGTGCTGGCCCTGCTCACACCTGCTGCCGGCCCTGATCGTCCTTTAGGGTTTTTCCACCTCCCCCTGCTCGTGAGGGGCAATCGGGGCCAGCAGCCACCTCTTGCACCTGCTGCTGGCAATGGCCCTACTCACATCCACTGCTAGCACTGGAGCCGCTGCTCACACCCACTGCCAGCGCCGGTCCCACTTGCACCTGCAGCCGGTGCCTGAGCCACCACTTGCACCCGCTGCCAGAGTCTAGCACCAGTCCCAATCACTCAGCACCATCAGCAGGTGTGAGTGGCGGCTGCCAGCCCTGATCGCCTGAGGGCTTCTCCACCTTCTCCTGCTCCTGAGGGGCGACTGGGACAACAGCCACCACTTGCATACCACTGATGGTGCCAGCCCCAATCGCTCTGCGCCATCAGCCGGTGTGAGCGGGGCCAGCACCGTCTGCACCTGGGAGCGTGAGTGGGGCTGCCAGCAAACAGGGGACTGGGGGCCGCAGTGGGAGGGGCCGGGCAGAGGTGCAGAGGATGGGCCGAGACCTGCCCCTGTGCCCACCACAGCCTCATGGCCGGCCCACAGGTCCTTTCAAGGTGCACAAATTCGTGCACTGGGCCCCTAGTAATAAATAATAATACAAGAATGAACTCTGTTTCCCATATTCACAATTGTAATCCTATTCTTGCCCCACCCTACATAGGCAACATTAATGCAACAATAACTTTACTTCATAGAAAGCAGTCGATATATAATAAACATGATTTTACCCAATTTACTCTATGTTATGGATCTAATTTCTATCATTAAAATCATTATTTATAATTCCCAAAACACTATGAACAAAGGAATACCTTTCTTTTCACCATAACTATACTTTTAAAGCCAAGGATTTTCTTTCTGGTTTAATGTATCAGCATTAATAATGTTAACAGATATAATCACTAATATATTATTCAATGAATTATGCTATGAAAAAACTAGTTTAAACTACCTTCAGAAAATGTGTAACTGCTAATGTCTACTTTTTAGTCTAACCTGTGATAAACTGCTTCAATAGGCAGGTTTTCCTGGCACATGGGTTTCAACAGTCTTTGCCTGAGGGACCTCTTCTCTTTTAGCACTGCTTCCAAATGATTATTCATGCTTTGCAGAGTTTGACACTTTTGAGCTACACAAACCAGAAATAGTAATTATAGTTAGCAATAGGACAAAGAAACATTTTTGTTGTTGTTAATCCTCATTCAAGGATATTTTTTCCATTGATTTTTAGAGAAAATGGAAAGGAAGGGAGGAGGGAGAGAAAATGAGAGACATCAAACAGTTGCCTCCCGCACATTCCCTGACTGGCGCCAGGGATCAAGCCTGCAACCCAGGTATGTGCCCTTGACCAGGAATAGAACCTGCAACCCTTGGTAAGACGGTTGGTGCTCTAACCACTTAGCAAACTGACCAGAGCAGGACAAGTAAATTTTGAAATCACTAATAAATTCTTCTTTGCTTTGGTTTGATACAGCCAAAATTATCTCACCATTGCTCTCCTAAATATCTCCCCTTTGCTATTCCTAATATCCAATATCAATTTCATTTTATTTTTCCTATTGACAACCCACTGCTAAATCCTGTGTTTTTCAACTCTACTTCTAGTTCAGTTTTTATAGCCAGTGCCACATTCTTCAAATAACATCTCTTTTCCCATCTCTGCCTCTAATACTCTACACAAACATTAAAAAACAAATATTTGTCTTACAAGCTATTTCTGATCATTTCAATATTCGCTCTAGAATTCAGTTAATGGTCTCTTCTTTTAAATTTTTTAAAAATATATTTTATTGATTTTTTACAGAGAGGAAGGGAGAGGGATAGAGAGTTAGAAACATCGATGAGAGAGAAACATCGATCAGCTGCCTCCTGCGCACCTCCCACTGGGGATGTGCCCGTAACCAAGGTACATGCCTTTGACTGGAATCGAACCTGGGACCCTTCAGTCCCCAGGCCGACGCTCTATCCACTGAGCCAAACCGGCCAGGGCTAAATTTTATTTATCTATCTTATTTATTTTATTTTTTTGTTAATCCTCACCTGAGGGTATTTTTTCCATTGATTTTTAGAGAGAGTGGGAGAGAGGGGGAGAGACACACACAGAGAGAGAGAAGCATTGATGTGAGAGACACATGGACTGGTTGCCTCCTGCACCTACCCCAACTGGCGCCAGGGATCCCACCTGCAACTGAGTTACATGCTCTTGACCAGAATCGAACCCATGACCCTTCAGTCCTCGGGCTGACACTCTAATCACTGAGCGAAACCAGCTAGGACTTAAATTTTTAACTTTCAAACTTAGAGAAAAGTTTCAAGAATAGTTTATTGAGCCCTAACCGGTTTGGCTCAGTGGATAGAGTGTTGGCCTGCAGACTGAAGGATCCCAGGTTCGATTCCGGTCAAGGGCTTGTACCTTGGTTGCAGGCATATTTCCAGTAGGGGGTGTGCAGGAGGCAGGTGATCGATGTTTCTCTCTCATCGATGTTTCTAATTCTCTATCCCTCTCCCTTCCTCTCTGTAAAAAATCAATAAAATATACTAAAAAAAAAAAAAAAAGTTCATTGAACTCCCATATACATTTTACCTAGACTCACTAACTGATAACACTTGGCTACAGCCTCTTTTCCTTTCTCTCCACACCCTTACAAATATTTTTGCTGACCCATTTGAGAGTAAGTTGCAGATATCATGACCTTTTACCTCTAAAATGTCAGCATATATTTCCCATCTCTTATATAACCACAAGTATCAAATTCAGAAAATTTAACATTGCACAATATTTAATACAGCCCTTATTCAAATATCACCAAGTAGCCCAATAATGTCCTTGACAGCAAAAAAAGTTTTCTAATCAAGTATTCAATCTATGAACACACTGTGATTTAGCTGTCAAGTCCCTGAAAAGTTTCTCAGCCTTTTTTTGGTTTTTCAAGTTCTCCTAATTTTGAGGAGCTCCTACCTTGGTCACTTTATATGCAATTTGCACTAGGCAAGCCAACAGGACTTTTGTTTGAACACAGAAATAGAAAACTTTGTTAGCTTTGGGGCAATACCTGAAAAAAATAATGGTATATCATAATGCCTGCTGCTTATTTAAGGTAATCCAAGAAAAAGTTGAAATTCCAATAATTACCCACCCATTTAACCAAACCACTTACCCAAAAAAGAAGGATGAACAATGTCTGCTGTATCTTTTTCTAGTTTTAGAAGTTCAATTTCCAGGTTCTTCTGCATTAGGAACAAAAATAATATTTACCTCACTCAGAAAAGAGCCTGATTAAAGGATAATCTGTGATAAAAACAGACTTTATCCAGGAATATTTAGGGGGAGGAGGGTGGAGGATTTGTTATGAGAGCTCAGGTGATTCACTGAAGCTTTTCACATTGGTGTGCAAGCCCTGTTGCAGCTTCTGCTACTACTTCCAACTACTGCTGTTACTATTACAATTTCATTAACAGGAAACTACGTACGTAAACACCTACCCAGTTAAGTACTACAAACTGTTCTAAGTGCAAGAGAATTGCTGTTGGAAACAATTAAGATTTGTTTCCCTGTACTAGAAGTAAAAAGTAAAAAGTTTAACAATTTACCTGATTGATTTCAGCTTGAATATTTGTGATCTGCTGTAGCCTGGAGAAGTTCACAAAGCAAGGAGTTGATTTCTTAGATATATCTAATATCTCCTAATGCAAAGTAAACAGAGAAAACAGCATCATGTCACAAAAAGTTTCTATGTGCATTGGGAAAGCATGCCCATGGGTCTAAAACATAAGCATATATTACGTCCATCACTGCCCCTAAAAAAATGCAATACAGAGTACAACAGTAACAATGTTTATTTCCTGTTTTTAAAACCTCCATATCACAAATCATTTGCCCAAATATTTAAAAAATAAGAAAAACAAATGACTTAATCACTTTGTACTATTTCCTAAAATACAAGGCACAATAGATTTGCATTACTGATAGTTTATTATGAGATTTTAAGGCTGAGGTTGTTGGAGAAATACTCCTATACAAATGACTAAGACCTAGTATCTCTGACCTTCTTGGGGCTAAAATCAAACATTTCCTCCACCCCTGTCCCCATGGAGTCATTTATCAGATTCATTAAATGACCTCAATTGCTACAAATTATTCATACTATTTCTTTTCACATTCTTGTTCTCTTAGGTAAAGGAATGTTTGCCCAGGCATAATTACTTTTCTAAAAAGACTACCCCCTCCTTTTTATCCTTTCATTCTATGTTAGACTGCCTCCTTAAACTGCCGGTTATCTCAGAATAAGAATATTATCTTGTTCATCTCTTGGCTTCATCCATCAGTTTCTGTATCTTCTTCTGCTTTTCTAGAAAGTTAGCAGAGGAAAGAACTTTACAGATCATATAGGATAGGGGTTAGGAAACTATAGCCCATGAGCTAAATGCAGCCCACTGCCTGTTTTTGTACAGCCCATGAGCTAAGAATGGTTTTTATATTTTTCAGTTGTTGGGGGGGAAATCAAAAGAAAAGTAATTCTTTTGTGGCTTATAACTTCAAATTTTAGAGTCCAGAAATAAAGTTTTATTGGAACTCAACTTCTCTCATTTAATTATTATCTATGGCTACTTTCAGGCTAAAACAGCCCAGTTTCAACCATATAGAATGAAAATCCTCAAATATTTGCTCTCTGGCCCTTCATAGCAAAAGCTTGCTGACTGGTAATAATCAATGAATCAAGATATTTATTGAGATAGGAAGTGGAAGACTCAAGAATGAATAAAAAGCCTAGCTGGTGTAGCTCAGTGGAGAAGCACTGACCTATGAACCAGGAGGTCACAGTTTGATTCCGGTCAGGGCACATGCCTGGGTTTCCAGCTTGATCCTCTCAGTGTGGGGCGTGCAGAAGGCAGCTGATCAATGATTGTCTCATTATTGATGTTTCTATCTCTCTCTCTCCATTCCTCTCTGAAATAAAAAATAAAAATTAAAAAAAAGAATAAAATGAGCTCTCTGCCATTAATAAGTTCCTGACAGATGGAAAGGAAAAAGTATTCTAGATAAAAAGACTTAACATTATAAATGCTCAATAACTGTGTTAGTACTAACATATATAGGGTGTCCCAAAAAAATATATACACACACTTTGAATAATTATAAAGGCAGTGTTTATTAAAATACATTTCATTTTCAAAATTGAGCCATCAGCTATTACACTATGTATACATATCTTTGGGACACCCTGTATGATGTTCTGTGATTATGCAGAAAACTACATCTCCAAATTAATCTTCACTTTTTTAAAAAATATATATTTTATTGCTTTTTTTTTTTTCAGAGAGGAAGGGAGAGGGATAGAGAGTTAGAAACATCGATGAGAGAGAAACATCGATCAGCTGCCTCCTGCACACTCCCCACTGGGTATGTGCCTGCAACTAAGGTACATGCCCTTGACCGGAATCGAACCTGGGACCTTTCAGTCCCCAGGCCGACGCTCTATCCACGGAGCCAAACCGGCCAGGGCTAATCTTCACTTTTGACATACAGGGTGTCCCCCCAAAAATGTATACACACTTTAACAGCTGATAACTCACTCAATTTTCACTCCTTTTCAGTTTTAACTAATTTGAAATAATGGGTGAGGCCAGACTAAGCTTTGAACAAAGAAAATTTATCCTAAAGTGCCACTAGACTTTTTTTTATGGAGACCCATAAAAGATAAAGTTTACAGTACAAAACTGGCAACAGTCAATGAGTTGAGGGCACACAAATACCAAACAAAATGATTCTTGATATTGAGATTTCACCGCTTTGCATTACCAGCAGTACTTGGACCAGAATGGTCATCAGTTTGAAAACAGGCATTGACAAAAAAAATTACTCATTTCTGTGGATTCTTTTAAATTTTGAAAATGAACTGACTTTCTAATCATTCAAAGTGTGTACACATTTTTTTAGGACACCATGTATAACACACATGGAAATGTAAGTGTGGGTAGTATCTATATATATAAAAGGCTAAATGACTGACAGTCCGACTGGCACATACGACATGCATTGGCAATCTACACTAATAAAAGACAAACATGCAAATTGACTGTACCTTCGCTACACATTAAGCCACACCCACCAGCCAATCAGAGCAACTATACGCAAATTAACCCAACCAAGATGGCAGCTGGCAGCCACGGAGCTGGAGCAAGCAGGAGGCTTGGTTGCCCCAGTGATGGAGGAAGCCAAGCTTCCCGCCTGCCGCGGCCGGCTCTGAGCTCCACTCAAGGCAACAAAGTTTCTTTTTTTTTTTTTAAATATATTTTATTGATTTTTTACAGAAAGGAAGGGAGAGAGATAGAGAGTTAGAAACATCGATGAGAGAGAAACATCGATCAGCTGCCTCCTGCACATCTCCTACTGGGGATATGCCCACAACCCAGGTACATGCCCTTGACCGGGATCGAACCTGGGACCTTTCAGTCCACAGGCCGACGCTCCATCCACTGAGCCAAACTGGTTTCGGCCAAAGTTTCAATTATAGAAGATAAATAAACCCCAGATACCTGCTTCCAGCCGGCCGTGGCCACGGAGCTAGAGCGAGCAGGAGGCTTGGGTTGCCCCTGGCGATGGAGGAAGCCGAGCTTCCTGCCCACCCTGGCTGGCTCTGAGCTCCACTCAAGGTTGCAAAGTTTCAATTATAGAAGGTAAATAAATCCCAGAATAAAAAAAAAGAAAAAAAGGAGAGGCTGGGAGCTTCCGTCGCTGGGGGGCGTGGCCAGCCAGAAAACGGCCCTCAGCCCCTCACCCAGACTGGCCAGGCACCCCAGTGGGAACCCCCCACCCTAAAGGGGGTGTGGGAAGCCTGAAAACAGCCATCAGCTCCTCACCCAGGCTGGCCAAACCTCCATGGGGTGAGGGTCCCCACTGGAGGGGGCTTGACCAGCCTGCAAACAGCCATCAGCCCCTCACCCAGGCTGGCCAGGCATCCCAGTGGGGACCCCCACCCTGAAGGGGGTGTGACTAGCCTGCAAACACCCATCAGCCCCTCACCCAGGCTGGCCAGGCACCCCAGCGGGACCCCCACCCTGATCCGGGACACCCTTCAGGGCAAACTAGTTGGCCCCCACCTGTGCACCAGGCCTCTATTCTATATAATAAAAGGGTAATATGCAAATTGACCCTAACAGCAGAACGACTGGGAATGACTGGTCACTATTCTTAGGTTTTACGCTGCCGGGGTTGAAGAATGTGAGCGGGTATGAGAGGCAACCGGAGAGGAGAGCGAGGACGGTTGAGGTTCGGGTTCCTGAGCCTGGGATTCCGGGGGAGGAGAAGGGACAGAGCGGGTTTCGGGAACGACAGGAGAAGTCGGGGGACGAACGGCTCGGTCAGGGGGGTGGTAAGGAGGAGGAGAGGAGAGGAGGTCAATGAGGTCAGGGTTATCGGTTGAATCAGAGGTCTTTGGGGGAGGTGGGGTGGCGGGTGGGTCGGGATTTTTGGAAGAAGGCGGAGCAGTGGGAAGAGGAGGGTTGCTGATGGCTAGGAGTATCTGACGGGTTGAGCAGGGAGAACAGAGGTCGGGGCGGGAACGTATGTCCCAAAAAGCCTGGACGTAGGGGACCTCAGAATCTTTGCCCGTGCGCCGGCAGTAATTATCTAAGTCTGTTAGAACATTAAAGTCAAAGGTGCCAGTTGGGGGCCAGCGGGACTGGTTATCTAGAGGATATTGAGGCCATTGTTGTTGTGAGAGAGAAATTAAGCGTTTGGCCTTGAGTGTCTGAGTGTACCCCAATTTGGAAAAATTTTTAAGGAGACACCCTAGAGGTGTCTTAGGATCCGGCCTGGACTCTGAGACTCCCATAGTTGAGGGGTTTCCCGCTCCCCAAGATTAGAGACAAAGCACCAAGGGAGGCGTCCCACCGATTGGTACAGAGTCCCGGTTCTGGGTTGGGGTCTGAAGAGGACCAAGGACGTCTCCTTTGTCCTCAAAGAGACCAGACAGTGGCCCTCTGAGGGCGGAGGAGTTCTCTCGGCACGGCCGCGACTTAGGACGAGAGGCTCCGGATGGATCTCGGAGAGCAGGAAGGAAAGGGAGGGAGGTTTCCCGTGTGACTTATTGGAGATGGAGTCCGGGGGAAGTCCAGGCCGAGGTCCGGGGCGGCAAACAGGGGAAGTGAGCCGGACCAGCCAATCGACTCGGACCCCGGCACCTCAGAGTCTGGGAGTTAGCCCGGGCGAACTGCCGCTGCCCACTGCTTCCCAGGTCGTAAGAGGAGACCGGGGCGAGGATCGTCCGAGTCCGAGACCCACTCCCGGGTTTCGGCACCAAATCTTAGGTTTTACGCCGCCGCAAGGAAAAACCGTGAGTCCAAACAGAGACCAGATTAAACAGGCTTTATTGGGAGCACACGGGCGGGTTCACCAGCTCAGAGAGGGGAGCAGGAGAAGCCGCGCCCAACCTGGGCAGGGGCAAGGTTTTATACTTTTCTGAGGCAATTGTTGCTGGCCGAAACTGGTGTCAGTCGGGGCTTTCCAGGGTCAGGTGAAACCTGCGGTCTGTCCTGCGGTTTGGTCATTTTCCGGAGCCGTTTGTCCGGCAGAGATTTTTCACCGGGGTGGGGTGGTTTCCAGACGTCAGTGTGGACAGGTCAACTTCTCACCGGCCCAAGAGGGGGAGGGGGTCCTTTCGCCCCGGGGCAGGGTGCCAGCG